CAGCCCAGACCCTCCCTCCCTCCCTCAGCCTGCCGAGGGTTTGATGATGCTTCATGATTTGAAAACAGAACATTGGTCCCTAGGCAGGGCATGGTTCTGCCTCTCCTCTCTTAGGAAAGTGAAACAGTCAGTTAGATACGCTGGACGCATATGGAGAAGGAAGCTTGGGAAAGTCTTGGTCCAAATCCCAAGGTTCTAGGACGAACGGACAAAGAGCAGTTCCTCCTGGCCTTTATCTAGAGTGACGTTTCACAGGCACACTTCCCACGTGAAGGGCCTGACGATGGTGTCAGGGCTCAGCCGGTGTCTCCAGGGGTACACAGCTCAAAAGGTGACCCCAGGGGCAACGGATCAGCCGCAATCACTTCATTTACTGTAATGCCTTTCTCTGCAAACTCCTACTTCATCTTCAAAACCCAGCTGAATGTCACCTCCTGGGGTAAACCTCTCCTTGGCACCTGCTGACATATCTCGGTGGCCATGGCCTTTTGTGTCTCTGTGCCCGTCTCCCTGCCCTCATCCGCAGGGCCTCGTAGGCTGGGAAGACCGAGTTTGCTCAGTCTCTGCTCCCCCTAGAGCTATGCGATGCGACGCCAGGGATGGGGGAGCGGTGGGTGGGGGGTGATTCATCCCGTCTGCCCTGGGCCAGCTGCAGCTGGCCAGGGGGTGGCCACAAGGCTTCCACACACTGCGTTTCCCTGGCCTTGCCCACAGCTAACCCAGACAAAGATTAATCACGCAACACGAATGGCTTAGTTTTCTGAGGCTGACTTAAGAGAAAGTGCCTTTTTGGCTGATCATCCTTGAATTTGGATAAAAAGACCATCAAGGAGGACGGTAACCCCTTCTGGGCCAAAGGGACTGACCCCACTCTTCCCCACTAACAGTGGTCTGAGTCAGGAAGTTCTGTCTTGGGTCTAGCCTGCATCCACCATGCCTCACTTAAATTTCCTTGCTCAGTGGTGATGGTGGTGGCGGTGGGGGTGGTGGTGGAATGCAGACCAGTGGCTCCCCTGCTGCCACCTCAGAGAAGGAGGACATGGCTGGGTCTCTGTGTGTCTCTAACCATGCTGAGCCCCCATGGACACTTAACGAGAGAGCACACGTGGTTTACAACTCGGGGAAGGAAGCCGATGGAGTGGGCTCCAGGCCAGGTGCTCCGGGCAGGAGCGGAGAGGCTGAGCAGAGCATCCGGGCCCTCAGGAAGGCAGAAGAACAAATACAGGTCTGCTCGGCCTGGGAGGCGTCTTGAAGGACCCAGCTCCCGAGGAGTCTAGTGGGCGTCACGGGGCTGTGTCCTAGGCTCTGGAGCCGGGACTCAACTCTAAGCGAGCACTGGGGTCTCTGCTCCCTTTCGGCTCTGTTCCCAGGAGGTCTCCAGAAAACTGAACCTCAGACAACAGAGCCAGGAGGACCTCGCAGCCCAATGGTGCTGAGTCCCCGTGGGTCACTGGGGGGAAGTGGAGTGAACTTGAACCCTAGGCTTGCTGGCCTCCGCGTCCTGCTTCCTGGAGCTTCCAGGTTAGCATGCGTGGCAGCCCTGACCGCGGGAGGACTCCGTCTTCCCACATTTGCCAACGCCCTCCAAGGAAGCAGGACTTGTGCTTTGCAGGAGGCTGGGAGGTAGGTTCTCAGTGCCCCTCCCTGAGGGTTTCACCAGGGTGCCCTGCAGGATCCGCCCGGGACCCACCCCCCGGCTTGAAGGTCAAGGTTAAGTTCTTCAGGTGGACGAGGTGGATGGCACAGATCTGCCACTGCTCCGATTATGCCGTGACTTTCAAGGTCTTCCCGGGGGAGGTCAAGGCCTCCTTGGGGAGTTACAAAGTCTCGCACCTAGAGGTGCCAGGTAGGTAGATCAGCAAAGCAGTCTGGGTAATTTCAAAACAGAACTCTGGACTGCACGTGAAACACATAAAATAGTCTTCACTTTCACAACAAATAAAATCTTCCCCATCTTTCTTGAAACATACAGGCCTCTTGGTCTATCTCTATCCGCCCTTGTCATCAAGACATGGGTACAAAAAGATTTAACATTCACCCTCGCCGTTGTAAGAAAATCAACAACACTAATGCTTCATATATATACATATATGATAGATGTTCTATATATATCATATATATATATATATATATATATGATAGATGTTATCATGGACATTTGAGAGGAAGACAATAAGGAGTGGTGGGGACCGGGGCAAGCTGGGGAGCAATGCCCCATCTAGAGAAGTCAGCTGCCATCCAGTGTATGCATATTATTGCCCCATAGGAACGAAGGCTGGGGTGAGTGGGTAGCCTAACAGTTAATGCTGGTTAAGGTGTCTGCATCCCACACCTTGGATTTCGGGTTGCAGAGTCCTGCTAATGCAGACCGTGGGACCCATGTACTGCAGGTGCATGGGGAGGGAGCCTCTCTCTATGTCTGCAACCCTCTCTCCATTTCGCTCTGTCTCTTCAATAAATAAATTTAAATAATACAGGCTCAATTCGGCCAGATAATGCATACTGGTAGAGGCAGCCATGATGGCTTGAGTCCCTGGGTTCCCGCCACCCACACTGCACACCTGGACTGAGCCCCTGGGTCCCCCATCCACACTGCACACCTGGACTGAGCCCCTGGGTTCCCCCACCCACATCGCACACCTGGACTGAGCCCCTGGCCACTGCAGGCACATGGGGAAGGAGCCTCTCTCTATGTCTGCATCCCTCTCTCCATTTTGCTATCTCTGTCTCTTCAATAAATAAATTTAAATAATACAGGCTCAGTTTGGCCAGATAATGCATACTTTTACATTTTAAAGAGAAGCTGTAGGGGCCGGGGTTGTGGTGCGGTGGGTTAAGCTTCTGCCTGCAATGCTTGTATCCCACATGGGCGCCAGTTCGAGTCCCGGCTGCTCTACTTCCTATCCAACTCCCTGCCAAAGCACCTCAGAAGGCAGCTGAAGATGGCTCAAGTGCCTGGGCCCCTGCCGGCCACAGAGGAGGCCTGGATGGAGCTGCAGGCTCCTGGCTTCAGCCTGGCCATTGCGCCCATGTGGGGAGTGAACCAGCAGAGGGAAGACCTCTCTCTCTCTCTGTCTCTCTCCCTCCCTCTCTCTGTAACTCTGCCTCTGAAGTAAAGAAAGAAATCTTTTTCTTAAGGGACGCTGTAGATAAATGCATTTAAAACTTTGAAAGGCCAGCAACATACCAGAGGTATAAATGTGAATGTCGCCTTAGGACCACAAAGGGCGGCCCTGACATGTGGTCAGCAGCCTGGCCCTGGCCCGAGGTGGCTCTTTGCTTCCTTTGTTTTGAGAGGGCTCATATGATGGCAACGGCTCTTCATGTTCCATTAAGAAAGACAACATAAAGGAATCTGAAATTGTATTTGCTTCATTTCATCATTAATGGACAGTAGCTCCCTAATGTTCATAGTGTGACCTTGGTTTTTTAAACCAAGGTTTAATTGTTTTATTGATTTGAGACACAGAGAAAGAGAGCAATCTCCCATCACTGGTTCACTCCCTGGATCCCTTGCACCAGCCAGGACTAGGCTGAGCCTGGAGGGTGGAATTGAACCCAGGCACTCTGTTGTATGATGTGGGCTTCGTCAGTGGCACTGCCTGCCCCTGGCCTTGATTTCTGGGGCAAGCGTAATAAGAACTTACACCTGGGCTCTTCCCTCAAGAGGGCCCAGGCGTCTCTGCTTGAGGGAGGCTCAGCCCACAGGGCTGTAGGTCTGAGCCCCGGGGAATCCCTGTATCCTTATCTATCCACGAGCAGCTAAGGAGAATAGGGGCCATCGCAGCTCGGCACTTGCCCGTCCTGCCCTGGAAGCTAACTTAGAGAGGCGTGGAGCCATTGCTTGATGAGCTGGAATGGAAGCTGCCATCCGGGGCAGCCCCAAGCCCAGGTAGGACAGCAGGGACAAGGAAAGCTGTCATCACGTGCAGGGTGACCTGGGCCATCCCCCGTCTGACCTCCGCTGGTCCTTCCACCCCAACTTCACTGGCACTCAGAGGACGCATGCGCAACTCCCAGGCTTCCGTAGGGTTGCCCTGGCCTGGTCACCAGCCGCCTGGTCCGGGGGAGAAAGGCACTGCTGATCTCCAGCCAAACCTAGCCGCGCCTGGGGAATGACGCTGGCTCAGCTGTCAACACGCATCCCAGCACTCTCGCGAGGACTCCAAACTTTGGTAACAGATGGAGTTGGCGAGGCCGCGGAAAGCAGTCACTCTCCTACTTGGCTCGTCAGACTGGTGCAACCTGTGTTGTGAGCAATTTGGTAATTTCTGTACAAATCATAAATGCACCTGACCTTTCACCTAGAAAGCACTTCCACTTCTAGGAATCGATTGATAAGTCCGCTCGTGTGCCAAACGAGGCATTTGCACAATGTCACCCGTTACAGCAAAGCATTGGCAATGGCCAAGTGTCCAGCACCAGAGACTGGCTCAACAGATTAGGGCTTGGGCATGCAGTAGAATATTATGCAGCTGTCCAAAACAAGCGAGGATTCTCTTCACCTAGCAGTTGGGACAGCTCTTTAAGTTCGGTGGAGAAGCGAAAAACAAGTACAAAACAACATGTGTGGTCCCTGTTATACGTATACAAATATATGAAAGTGATGTGTGTATATTTGTCTGTATCAAATACTGCCAACTAGTACCTAAAGCTCTAACTATGGCTTGCCTCTGGGGAGGGAGAAAGAGAGACCCGACAATGTTTCCCATGCACCTTTGATGTTTTTAAAACCTGGGACCACAGGAAGGTCTTTCTGGGCAAAACCAACTAAAATTTGAAAAACAGCAAGCGCACACATAAAACCAAACTGAAGCCCAAGTCCTCATCCCAGGGTAATGATGAAGCATCCCTGGCCATTGCACCCGGCTCTTTGGCCATGGCGCTTGCGTTCCATCCTCACGCGGCCTGGGGCTTGGCCTCCCTCCCCTCGGCTTCTCCCCTGGGAGGGTTCAGGGCGGTGTGGGAGTGTGGGCGCCAGGCTCGCCTCGCACACTTACCTGCTCCTTCTCTGAATAGGGGTTGTTGAGGACCACAGGCGCGCTGCCCTTCCCCCACAGGTCACTGAAGACGCGGTCGTTCTCCACGCCAAGAGGCAGAGGCTTGTGCGACTTGGCATCGAAATCCCTGCAAGGCAAGGCGGGGTGGTGAGGCAGGAGACACACAAGGAACGGCCAGATCACTGCCTCAATCCAGCCCCGGGTCTCTTGGGATCCCCCGGGGTCCACCCACAGCTTTGGCCGCCCGGCCTGCGGCTCCCTAAGACTCTCCAGTGGCTGTTGGGGAAGCAGCCGCCATTGTCAAGTACAAAGAAGACCTTGCACAAGTTGACCCCGAGGGCTGGCGCTCACTCATCTCTGTGAGCGGGGTTTCAGAATGGCCGCCGTGGTGTGGATTTTTCACATCGCTCCCTACTTCCCTGTTTCACAGATCTGGGAACACAAGAGGCCCATCCCTGGAGGACTTTCGTGTACTGTGAGTGCTGGACAACTCCATGCCCATGGGACTTCGTGGGGGGGGGAAGCAGGAGGCTGGTGGGATCCAGTAGTTCTGTTGGCCAGGGTGGTGGCCATCATTCCAATCATGACCAGGGCTGTGAACAATACAATACCAGCTTACGATAAACAGAAGGATTCTGCAGATAAAGGGGCCACAGCAACAACACAGTGATACTCTGAATGGTAGTTCATGTTTATAAAGCACCTACTATGGGCCAAGCACTTTAAGCGTGCTCTAATTCATTTCATCCTTGGGACGACCCCAGGAGGTAGGAATGATTGTTAATCACCATTTTATGGATGACGCATGGGAGACAGAAGCTACCTGCTCAAGGTCACCAACGTTCCCACCCACTCTTTGGAAGTAGCGACTCTCATGGTCACCATCATGGTCACCACTGTCCCCGTCATGATCATCAACACTTTTCCTCCTCCTCATCACCACATCACCGCCATCCTCATCAGAAGCACTCTCATCATTGTCATCACACCGTAGTCTTATCATCAATGTCACCATTGCTTATCACCGTCATTCCCAGACCCACCGTCACCACCACCGTCCTCTCCACCGTCAGCACACTCATCGCCACCATCGTCATCCTCAAACTCCTCAGCCTATGCGGAAATGGAGGCACAGAGAGGGTACATCCCCGGCCCAAGTCACACAGCTGGTGCGATGTGGATGCAAACTCAGATTTGTTCCCGACATCTTAACCACTGAGCTCACTGGGCTCCTGGACCTTGAACTCTCAAGACATTGGGGACGAGGCTATCTCAGCAAAGTTCCAAGGCTGGCCATCTTCAGTGGCGGGGATTCAGGCCATCCGCTGGCCCCGCCTGACCTCTGGTTTTCTGTCCTCCTGTTCCTTTTGTGACCTGCCCATCCTACTGTGGTCTCACTCTGTGTCCTCCAGGGTGGGGCAACGTGACCCATGCTGGCTTTGGTCCCAGGTGATGAGGCTGGCATGTGGCCAGCCGTCTGTTGTACACTGCCAGCTCGGGGGCCTCCTGTGTCCCCCAGTCTGGTGCACTGACAGCCTTTGGGTTGAACCAAAAGTCAAGGCCAGAGCTCTGAGTTCACGCCCCTGCACAGCCCCTGCCCGGCCCCTCCGTCTGCTCACCCAGGGCCAGCCAGAGCCATCCTTGTTGGTTTCACATAGTCCCCACGGCCCACACCACAGCCACTTAGCTCTCCTGCTTGGAGAGGTCTGTATTTGTCAGCGGGAACATTCTGTTTTCTCCTCTTTAAAATGTCACCAAAACACAGCCAGAGTGGCTCTTGACTACAGACATTACCCGAGTCAATGGTTTACTTACGTGGTGATAAACAGCGGGATTGTCTGTTGAGAGGGCTGCTCTGAACGTCACCCAGCTCCCTCTCAGCTCCGCAGCTCCTGACTGTAGCAGCCCACATGACTGCAAAGGCTAACTCAGCCGGGAGGGGAGCAGGCTAATGTGTTCAAAGCATCTGCAACACACTGGCTATTTGCACCTGAGCTGTTTCACTCCATCTCAACAGGCAAGAGAAGCCCCATTTCACAGATGGAAAAACTGAGCCCAGAGATGTGATGCAAGTTTTCCAAGGCCTCACGGTAAGCACAGAGCAGAGCCAGGATTTGAAACCAGGTCTGAATGAGGGCAGCCCAGATTCTCTCTTTTCTTAAATCTGGCTGAGATGTTTGGTCTAAGCCAGAGATGACAGAGCAAGGAACCCAACATCTCTTGCCAAATGAGGCGGGTTTACAAAAATTACAGGGTACATTACCCAGGCAACTCCAAAGTGAATCACACAGTCTGTCTGTGTGAATTTGCAGGGAGAATTTGTGGGTTTATTAACATCCTTCTCTCTCTCTCTCTTTTTCCTCTCTCTCTTTCAAGCCACCACTGCTCTTATTTTAAATAACACAGCTGAAGTGTTTTGCCAATACAAACTTATTGCAGGGTCCTGTGTGATAAGTAAGGCAAGAATGTTTTAAATAGGTGGCCACAGGGAACAGCCAGGTTGGGCTCTTTGGCGTCCATTCACCCAGGAGCCAAACCAGAAGTAGATTTAGTTGGATTCCCAACCCACAGGCTGTCAGTGACAGCCAGGTCGGAGAGAAATACCCGGTTATCGCCATGAACCTGCTCACCCAGAGTGGTGGGTGTGGCATGCTGGGTAGGGGCAGGGCTGTGCAGTGGGTGGAACTGGGTCCAAGTCTTAGCTTTGCTAGTTTTAAGCTGTATGACTCTGCACATCTAACCTGTCTCAGTTGGCTCTTGCTTCACATAGGGTTAATAACAGTATACACGATTGTGCAGTGGGGCAAAGCTTGGGGCTCTGAGCTGCACGGCCCCTGCTGTTACTCTTGCTACTAGCTTGTTTATGGGCTCATCAGACATGGATGAAGGAACCTGTAGTTCTCGGCAGGCCGGTGACAGTCCCTCTAAGTCATCACTGTCCACTAGAACTTTCTACGATGACGAAACTGCTTCGTGTCTGTACCGTCTGCTATTCCAGCCACCAGCCACGTGTGGCACTGGAAACGTGGCTGTTGTCACTGCGGAATTAAATGCTAAGTTCTGCTGAGTTTTAATTAAATTCAACAGCCAGAGGTGGCTTGTGGGTACATCATCGGACAGTATGGACTGAAGCCTTCATATCTCTGCAGACGGGGGAATGGGAGCCTACGTGGCTCCTTGTTGAGGAAGGAGGCGTCTTCCCTGGGGGCTGGGGCACGGGCAAGGACGTCTGCCTCAGACCACTGCTTGCACGGCCACGTTTTGTTCTTGGTGCCCAGGAGTTCGTGAATTCTCTGCTTCCCTTCCAGAGTCTCACTGCCCGTCACTGGAGCCCCAGTCTGCCTCTCCCCTCTTCCCAAGGAGCACACCACATCCATGCCTGTGTTTCCACTGCTCACCCCCTTGCCCTCTCATCTGTCCTCTGCTGAGAGCCAACACCCACCCAGGCATCAAGGCCCACTTCCCGCCTCGCCTCTCCTTGGACTCCCTAAAGGAGCTCATCCATGGAAAATGCCTAGCACGCAGTCAGTACTAACTAAACACAAGCCGTGCTTATCTCCAGGTAGAAGGGAAACTGAAGCCTGCAGAGCTTGGTTAACTTGGCAGAGGCCACAGCACGGGGGAGCAATGGCTCCAGCTGAGAATCACTGTGAACAGGGTGTATCGGGGGGACCCCCCCGGAGGGGCAGTGGGCTGCACCTCGCGTTCATGCAGAACCTTAAATGTAAATATCCGTTGTTCCCTCCAAATAGGGTCGATGTGTGGAATGCACGCACGCAAGTTTGGTAAAGCTGTGTTTATCATTCTTCTTGAAGAAATGCACCAGGAACTCCCTGAAGGTGGTGAATGGGGCGTCACGTGACTTCCGAGACACACTGGGACCCCTTTCCCCGGGATCTGCCTGGCCCGGATTCCAGCAGTGGACAGCGAGGTCCCTTTCTCTGCTGTCCTCCCTCCCCTCCCCTCCCCCCGGCCCTTCATCCCAGCTCTTTTGCTCCTCTGATTTTTCCTCGCAGAAGGCCAGGTGGGAAGTTCTGCCTCCCACCTGGCAAGTATTCTCTGTTCTTTGTGGCAAGAACTCAGCCCAGTGCCTTTTTCTTCCACCTTCCTGGCTGGGTGAACAGGCCCAAGCCAAGAGTCAGTCTAGCATCTCTAAACCTTCTGAAAACCATCGCTGGTCTGAAGCCTGGCTTCCCCACCGCCAGCTCCCCCGACGTCTTGTGCACAAGGCACCAGGTCCTGAGCCTGACCCCACAGGTGCCTTGCACGTGGGCTCATTGGTCTGGGATGACCACCGACCAACCCTCGGGCCTGGGAGGGGAGTGGGTTTGAGTGCAGGTCCTGGGAGGCGGGGGCTGCTGCCTGCTGCCTGCTCCTGCCCAGCCAGGCAGGGAGGCCGCCAAGGAGCAGCTGGCGTTGGCAGGAAGCCCTGCCCGCATCTCCACAGACGCCAGCTATGCTCTGACTCTGCCGTCTCCTTGCCCTCCGCGGTCCGGCAGCCTTTGCTTCCCGCCCCCACCTGCCCGTGGCCGTGGCTGGCACAAAGACTTGGGGGTCGGGATGGCTGGGTCTGGGGTCTCTGCAGAGCAGGTTGGAGGGTGAGAGGAAGCCCCAGATTCTAGCGAAGCCTGCTTCTGCCAGCAGGAGTTCCGCAAATGCTGCAGCTGAGAAGGGAGGTTGGACCCCCGGGCGCGGTCACAATGGGGACTCCTCGTCCCTCATATTCTGAGGCTTGGGCCGCATTCTCGAACGTGCACAATTGCAGGGCCCAGGCTAGGAGTGAGAATGGGTGGACGGAGCTGTCTGGGCAAGAGCCCAAGCATCCCCTTCCTGCTCCCGCAGCGGGCTGCCGCGCGAGATGTAGCACCTGCGCTAACCGCTCTTCTGACACCCACCACAGTCGGCCTCGGTCCACACCGGCAGAGTGAACCAACCTCGGATGGAAAACATCAGAAAATGCTCCTAGAACCCCTGTTTCCACGGTGTGCACCCTGGATCAGATATTACACGTAGTCGAGGGATGACTTAAACTGTACTGGAGGATGTGCAGAGGCTCTGTGCAGCGCTGTGCCATCTTATACAAGGGACCCGAGCATCCACGGGCTCCTGGAGCCAGTCCCCCACGGA